TTGCAGCTTCTGTCCCTTCCTCCTCTCTTTTAGGTCTGGGGCCTGAAGTATCTCCCTCTGCACTTTGTCCTGCCCTTGAATGGCTCTCTGCCTCTGTCTCTTTCCCTTGAGCCTGTCATTTCTTCCACCTCCCAGCCTCCATCCTCCTCTGACCTGTCTTCAGAGTACCATCACCACAATCCGGGTTGCGAGCCTTCCTCCTCTGCTACTTACCTAGGGGGTTCTTCGGCTGGAGCCCTCCACCACTCCTCCAGCCAGTCCCTGACAGTTCTTTCCAGGTATGGTCTGCACTTTAAAACTTCATGTCTGAGTACCTTTTATTTTATTTTTTCAATCTCTGCAGCTTTCCCATGAAAACCCACTCTTTAAAGCTCAGTCAGAGCAAACAGCAATCCAAGGAAAGCTCACATAGATGTTTGTTGCTACGGAGCACTTAAGAGCAAGTTTTCATGAGGAAAGCTCTGGGGCAACAAACAAACAGACAGAGAGTTTTCTAGTGCAGACCTGTGCCTGGAATGAGCAGGGCTAAAGTTAAGGGTGGATAAACCTTTTATCATTCTGAAGAACAAAAGGCATCCTGATTTTAAAGCTTGGCTTTCTACTGACCTCCCTGTGTGCCATTTTTTAAAAAATAATTTTTTATTAACTTTCTTTTGTATTTAAACAAACATCTCATATCAATAACATACATGTTATAAATCTTCATCCTCTTTCCTCCCAGGCTTCCCCCAGCTCCCTTATCATATACTGCTGTTTCCACCAATTCCCCATATCGTTTCTTCTTTTTTTAAAATGTTCTATATTTTAAAAATATTATACCAGAGGAATTATACCAGAAAGATATGGATGTCTTGTACACCCCAGGTAGTGTGGTTGCTGACCTTGAGCCAGACATCTTGGAGAGTGAAGTCAAATGGGCCTTAGAAAGTACTGCTAATAACAAGGCCAGTGGAAGTGATGATATTCCAGCTGAACTATTTAAAATTTTAAACGATGATGCTGTTAAGGTGCTACACTCAATATGCCAGCAAATTTGGAAAACTCAGCAGTGGCCAGAGGACTGGAGAAGATCAGTCTACATCCCAATCCCAAAGAAGGGCAGTGCCAAAGAATGCTCCAACTACCGCACAATTGCACTCATTTCACACGCTAGCAAGGTTATGCTTAAAATTCTACAAGGTAGACTCAAGAAGTATGTGGACCGAGAACTCCCAGAATTGCAAGCTGGATTTAGAAGAGGCAGAGGAACCAGAGATCAAATTGCAAACGTGTGCTGGATTATGGAGAAAGCTAGAGAGTTCCAGAAAGACATCTACTTCTGCTTTATTGACTATGCAAAAGCCTTTGACTGTGTCAACCACAGGAAACTATGGCAAGTTCTTAAAGAAATGGGAGTGCCTGATCACCTCATTTGTCTCCTGAGAAATCTCTATGTGGGACAAGAAGCTACAGTTAGAACTGGATATGGAACAACTGACTGGGAAATTGGGAAAGGAGTATGACAAGGCTGTATATTGTCTCCCTGCTTATTTAATTTATATGCAGAATTCATCATGCGAAAGGCTGGGCTGGATGAATCCCAAGCCGGAATTAAGATCGCTGGAAGAAATATCAACAACCTCAGATATGCAGATGGCACAACCTTGATAGCAAAAAGTTAGGAGGAATTAAAGAACCTTTTAATGAGGGTGAAAGAGGAGAGTGCAAAATATGGTCTGAAGATCAACATCAAAAAAACGAAGATCATGGCCTCTGGGACCATCACCTCCTGGCAAATAGAAGGGGAAGAAATGGAGGCAGTGAGAGATTTTACTTTCTTGGGCTCCATGATCACTGCAGATGGCGACAGCAGTCACGAAATTAAAAGACGCCTGCTCCTTGGGAGAAAGGTGATGGCAAACCTAGACAGCTTCTTAAAAAGCAGAGACATCACCTTGCCAACAAAGGTCCGTATAGTTAAAGCCATGGTTTTCCCGGTAGTAATGTATGGAAGCGAGAGCTGGACCATAAAGAAGGCTGATCGCCGAAGAATTGATGCTTTTGAATTATGGTGCTGGAGGAGACTCTTGAGAGTCCCATGGACTGCAAGAAGATCAAATGCATCCATTCTTAAGGAAATTAGCCCTGAGAGCTCACTGGAAGGACAGATCCTGAAGCTGAGGCTCCAATACTTTGGCCACCTCATGAGAAGAGAAGACTCCCTGGAAAAGACCCTGATGTTGGGAAAGGAGAAGGGGACGACAGAGGATGAGATGGTTGGACAGTGTTCTCGAAGGTACAAACATGAGTCTGACCAAACTGCGGGAGGCAGTGGAAGACAGGAGTGCCTGGCGTGCTCTGGTCCATGGGGTCACGAAGAGTCGGACACGACTAAACGACTAAACAACAACAACAATTTTAAAAAGTGTGAATGTTTATTTAAATCCTGGCATCAAGTCAATGTTCTTTTTTTGTTTCTGAAAATATAATATAAAAGGTTCCCACTCTTTTTCAAAGTCACTGTTGTCCTTTTCTCGTAGTCTATCTGTCAATTTTGCCATTTCTGCGTAGTTCATCAATTTCTCTTGCCATTGTTCTTTTTTTGGAATTTCTCCAGTCTTCCAGTTTTGAGCTACCAAAATTCTCGCCTCCATAGTAGCATACATGAATAATGTCCTCTTCTCTTTCGGCAGATCTTGACCTAGAATACCTAAAAGGAAAGCTTCTGGTTGTTTAACAAATGTCATTTTCAGCATTTTTTTCAATTCATTGTATATAATTTCCCAATATGTTTTTACATTTTTACAATCCCACCACATATGGTAAAAAGTACCTTCAGCTTCACACCTCCAAGATTTCTTCTGTTCATTTTTATATATGTTTTTTGCTGTTATCCATACACCCAAATATTTTACCTTTTTATCATTTCTGTTACTTCTTTCCTCTCATTTTCTTTAAGGTTTTTTAATAGCAGTTTCATCTTATTTTTGTTTAATTTAAATCCTGCCACTTGTCCAGACTCTTGTATTATGTTCATGACTTTTGGGAGGGAGATTTTCAGATCTTCCACAGTGATTACCAGATCATCCGCAAAGGCTTTCAATTTATGCTCACTTCTTTTTACTTTTATTCCCATTTTTTTATTTTCTCTTACTTTCCTCGTCAGTACTCCCAGTACCAGAATGAACAACAGCGGAGATAACCAACATCCTTGTCTTTGTGTGCCATTTTTTGACTGCCTGTCTTGGGTCATTTTTTTCCTGCACATCACCAGGACAAACCTTGCTGCCAGGTTTTAGCCACATCGCCAGAATCTCAAGTCACCATTTTGTGCCACTTTAGCTGAAATGGATATATTGATGTTGAGCTGTTCCCTAAATCTGAGAGTTGCTTCTCTCACCATGTCCTTTAAGGTACCAACAGCAACTCACCTCTCCTTTCTTCAAAGTTGTGTGCAGGGAAGTATTTAATGACATGAAGGCAACTCCCAGGAAAGATGGCGAATGGAACGTTCTGGAACTGGCTCTGCAGTTCAAAGGTTGTTTACAGATCCATGGGGTGTTTGGTCATTTATATTATTCAGCTAGATAAATTGCCCTCACATTTTGGCAGGCATGAAAACTACTCTTGGGAGCTATCCAATGTACTGGAACTGTAATGTGAAGTGTAACTGGGAAGGAGAGTTGCTGTACTGCTGTACTGCAGAAAGAATAATTAGGTTCCGCTGTAAGGTGAAGTAGTTTAAGATGATGAGAAGCAAGATAGACCATCTTATAGTCAAGAAGAGAGCTGAGCTAATCAAACCAATGAGCTTCATCAAAACATCACACATACAAAATTTTCACAGAAGTGTTTCCATCACCAAAGTAACTGGATCAACATCCTGTCTCGCCACTCTGAACTGCATTTGTTTCATTGCCCTTACATCACAGAAAGGCAGGGAACAAGCTCCCACATTGCCAAGGCAACCAGGCCAATGCTCCTTGCTTTGCCAAGCTGTGCTGTGAGGACAAGCAATGAATGCTCCATGATGAAGCAATCTGGTATGGCAGGAGGTGTCAACCCGATTGCCTCAGCAATGAGGACACATTACATTGCATCCTGAGAATACAGCATTGGTTTTGTTTGTTCTTACCACTGCTACATAGTCAAATCTGATTGGCTATTGACCTAAGTGGTACTCTGATGTCCTTGCATTTGTTGCATGCTTTGTGGTTGCTCATGATCTTTCTTTCTTTCTTTCTTTCTTTCTTTCTTTCTTTCTTTCTTTCTTTCCTGCAACACTTTTCTTCAGAATTATTCAACTCTGACATATTTCAGAATTTAATCTCCTGTACAAAGTGATGGCACTGCAGTTATCTTTAGAAGGATGTATGCCTATAGCTGAACAATTTGTGTAGATCACTTTCTGTTTTCATGAAGCAGCTCATACTTTCTACCTAAACAACCAAGGAAAGGCTTGTCAAGTATCTATCCAAGTTGCTTTAGATAGATCAGATTCTGTCTTGGAACTGCCTGATTGAAGATCCAGCTTGTGCTGTCATTTCTTTTGAGAAAGCTTCACATAATTTGGATCAACATGCATACATTAGTCACACCTAACACCCTCATCACACATTACTTCACAATTGAGATATGTGATTTTGTGTGTGCATGCCTATTTCTTACACAAGGTTAAAGAAATCTTGGTTAGTGAATGAGTAAGCAGCTGGCTCACTTAGGCAGGAATAACCAGCTGCACAAATATTATATGGGGGACACCTGGCTTGCCAATAGTATATGTGAAGAATATCTAGGGGTTCTTAGTAGACCACAACATTGACATGAGTCAACAGTGTGATGCAGCAAAAAAGCTAATGCTATTCTAGGCTGCATCAACAGCAGTATGGTGTCCAGATCCAGGAAAGTCATAGTACTGGTCTTTTCCATTCAGACCACACCTGGAGTACACTTAGAAGGTGGTGGACCCTCCTTACTTGGAGGTATTTAACCAAAGGTTGGATGGCCATCTGTCATGGATGCTTTAGTTAAGATTCCTGCATTGCAGAGGGTCAGACTAGATGAGCCTCAGCGTTACCTCCAACTCTCCAGTTCTATGATTCTATGTTTCTGTGTTCTGCACTTGTAAATATCTAGTTATACATTTTTCATTAAGGTGTATACCTGACTCCCACTAATTGCGGCTAAATTTCAGGTCTGCTGAAATCCCAAAGAGTTCTTCTTTGCAAACAGCCCTCACCTTCAGATCTATATATTAATAATGATGTGATAAAAATTGCCTTTTGAAACATTTTGTACAATGCAGCTCTAATCACCACCATAATGATAGGAATGTATGCACCTTTCAACATTTACTGCTACAGGGAAATGTTATTCCAGCCTTTTGTCCTTCAGGATATATTGGCTTGAGTGCATTAACTAAAACTCTAACATTTAATTATTCCTATGCCGTTCCAGTACCTCTCAGCTGTGCATCAAATACACAATACCAAAATGGGAAGCCTACTTTCCACAACTAAATATTTATAGCTGTAGGATATCCGGTCATGAACAGTTGTAGAAACTAAACTCTTTAAAAAGAATGCTGAACTCTTGTCCCCAATGATATACTGAAAAGCTACAGGCTTTCTGAAACAGGAATTCACATTTCAAAGAAGAGATTGAAGGCAAAACCATATAGACATCTATTCTGCAAGACTTTAGTTAAAGAAATGCTCATACATTCAGCTTCTCTTCCACTGAAAACAGAAGGATGTAAAAGTATCTTATTTTGTTAATTTAAAAGATTTTTTAAAAAAATATATTTTTATTGGTTTTTGCACATTTTTTCCAAACATAACATCCCATCCTATACAACATAACAAACCTTCGGCTATCACAGCCAGAGATTTCTGTCAACCTCGACTAATGGTTTTCTAACTTTCTTTCTGATTTTGCATTTTATTTTAATAGTTATTGCTATAAAATCCATATCCTAAATAAACTCCTTCTTAGTCCTCTTTCACAATAATTCATATGGTTCTCCTTACAAAACTTCTTGCAACCGTACATGTGATGTCAACTGATTACAATTGTCTTTCAAATATATCAGAAATTTCTTCCACTCTTTCAGGAAAGTCTGGTCTTGCTGGTTCCGAATTTTCCCAGTTAATTTTGCCACCTCGGCATAGTACATCAGTTTCATCTGCCACTCTTCTTAATTTAAAAGACTTAAATACTGCCCAGCAGTGGATCTTGCAGGCTGATTCACTAAACAACATAAAATAATGCACAATTACTTTATTTTTTGTGGGTCATACTAGAATGCCTTCTGTGCAACAGTTACTTTGACTATGGCTGCAACCATAGAGGGGCAACAGTGTGGCGTATTGTACATTTTTACTTAATAACATAAGAAGATCCCTGCTGGATACATGTGGCCCAGCATCCTGTTCTCACAGTGACCCACCAGGTGCCTATGGGCATCCCAGAGAGGGAACATGAGTGCATCCACATTCTTCCCGCTTGTGGTTCCCAGGAAGCAGTTGCTCTGACAGTAGCTGTAGAACATAGTTATTGCGGACAGTAAAAAAAGGTAAAGGTAAAGGACCGTGGATGGTTAAGTCCAGTCAAAGGCGACTATGGGGTTGCAGCGTTCATTCGCTTTCAGGCCAAGGGAGCCGATGTTTGTTCACAGACAGCTTTCCGGGTCATGTGACCAGCATGACTAAACCGCTTCTGGCGTAACAGGACACCGTGACAAAAACCAGAGCGCCTGGAAATGCCATTTACCTTCCCACTGCAGCGGCACCTATGGTATTTATCTACTTGCACTGGCATGCTTTCAAACTGCTAGGTTGGCAGGAGCTGGGACAGAGCAACGGGAGCTCATGCCATCATGGGGATTCGAACCGCTGACCTTCTGATCAGCAAGCCCAAGAGGCCCAGTGGATTAGACCACAGCACCACCAGTGGACCGTAGCCACGGATAGTCTTATTCTCCTTTATCCTCTATGAACCCTCCTTGAATTTTCCCAATCCCTTTTAAAAACCATCTAAGCTGATGGTCTTCAGTATGCTTTGTGATGTAGCACAACTAGTCAACTCAATGCAATCATCATCTACTTCTGGGATGGGGAAACTGGTGCCTTGTGAGCCGTTTGGCCTAATTTTGTGTGATCCACAGCCTCCAGATACCACGGGCTCATTGAACACCACTGATTTATCCAGGTAGAGCTGGGAACAATTCCTGTCTGAAATGGAAGCCCTAAAGTACCATTACCAGACAATTTAGACAATACTGAGTTAGAATGATTGATCATCTGACTCATTAGGAGGCAGCTTTTGCATTCAAAGTATGTTTTCGACCACTGAGATACAACCCTTTCCATTATTTAAAATTAAAGTATGCTTAAATTTTAGCTTTCCTATTGAAATCCATTAAGACCAAATTTTAGCTTTTGTGCAAATTAGGGCAAAACATTGGGTTGGATCATGCTCTTTGTAGTTTAAGCAAGTCATAGCAGGTATCATTTTGGGGTTCACAGTTCTACTCTGAACATTTACTCCCTTCCTACCTTGGGAACTATATGTCTTGAGGAAGCCAGTAGGATCTTCACCAGCTTCAGGTGGCCACAAAGTGCAAGGGGGCTTTGATATCATTTTAGCAAAGGAGAACTCAGCCTCTCAGTGTAAGTATGTAACTGGCTGTATATTGTTTTAACCTGAAGGAAAGAAGATAAATGTAAACAGTGGCCTCGAGGAAAAGATGAAGGTGTGACTCTGCATTTAGAACAGCTCAATGAACAGAGCAAAACACTGAGAACACAGTCAGAAAATGCAATGGATCAGAGAGAAGAGCCTTAGACTAATATGAAAATAATAAAAAATAAAAAATCAGGCTCCAGCAAGCAAGTGAAAATTAGAACTTGGCCCCAAACCCAGGAAATGAAGTACAAAAAGAAGAAAATACTTCCAAAGGGAATTTCAATTTCATGTCAAGCCCAAAAGATAAAATCCAAATCTTGCCTCATACCATTTATCTACCAAGTTAATTACAGATAGTTGGCCTGAAACAACAAGTTAACAATTTATGGAGAAAGGAGACTAACTGAGATAAGGCAGCTGATCTATGTGGAGTCTGAAGCTATCTGTCTTAGGGGCGATATGGAGATATCTATTAGCACTGGCTTCCTTGTTTCTAGGTGCTCCTATGAGAAAAAAGCAAGACAATGTAGAATTAGGACAATTAATAAGAGGAGATGCTTTTTGTGACTATGCCTTCAGAGCATTGTAATACCCATGTCTACATATATGGTGAGGAAAGTAATTAATGTAAACCCCTTTCTTTTTTAAGGGGTCCTAAGTATAATGGGTAAGGGACGCGGGTGGCGCTGTAAGGGACGCGGGTGGCGCTGTGGGTAAAAGCCTCAGCGCCTAGGGCTTGCCGATCGAAAGGTCGGTGGTTCGAATCCCCACGGCGGGGTGCGCTCCCGTTGCTCGGTCCCAGCGCCTGCCAACCTAGCAGTTTGAAAGCACCTCCGGGTGCAAGTAGATAAATAGGGACTGCTTTCTAGCGGGAAGGTAAACGGCGTTTCCGTGTGCGGCTCTGGCTCGCCAGAGCAGCGATGTCACGCTGGCCATGTGACCCGGAAGTGTCTCCGGACAGCGCTGGCCCCTGGCCTCTTGAGTGAGATGGGCACACAACCCCAGATTCTGTCAAGACTGGCCCGTACGGGCAGGGGTACCTTTACCTTTACCTTTAAGTATAATGGGTGGTATCCAATTGGTGTCCTTCAATTGACTGAAGGCATCCATCAGCAAGCAGAAATGGGAATTCTGGCAATTCTCCCTGCTCATGAAGCTCCTAAACTTTCCTTAAATCAGTCTCAGGGGGGTCTTACTGCCCAGGGCAGATGTTTTAGGGTGGGAGGGGTAATTAACAAAAATTGCTTCCCTCCTGATAGATGCTTCCTGCCAGCAGACTGTAGGAGCAGGTATCTTGAGATTCCTGCATTGTAGGAGATTGGACTAGATGACCCTTGGGGTCCATTTCAACTCTACAATTCTATGATTTATGAGCTTACCACCTCATTTAAAGTTGTGCATTTCTGGAGTCCACTGGTGTTCCCTCCACCATTTGGACCAAGCAGTGAAAGATCAGACAAGTTCAAATGATTCTGAAGTTCTACTAGACACAGCTATAACAGGCTAAGAAAAAGAATTACACACAAACACACAAAAAACACCACACACAGAGCAAATGGTTCTTATATGTAATGGTCTCTTTTCTGGCAAGATAGGTTGCCTCAAGTACATGTCTGACTCTTAAGTTCATTTTTTTGAACCGAGTACTATATCACAAAATTTTGAGAAGTAGAAATTCAAAAGGATAATTATGTTCCAATTCAGGCCGCTTCACTTAAAAGTATGGACCGAGGGGGGGGGGGGAAACACAGAACAAAATGAAGATGAAGAAGAAGAAGAAGAAGAAGAAGAAGAAGAAGAAGAAGAAGAAGAAGAAGAAGAAATTCTCCATTACTAACTCAGTAGAAGGGTAGCTAAGCTAACCTGTGGCATATAGATTCTATTGCTTTGTAACTCACATCATCTCTGACCACTGGGCACGTTGGCTGAGGCTGATGGAGCCCAGTAAACACAGGTTCCCTGAACTTGGTCTATAACAGTATATAAAATATACACTGCACATCAACATATGATGTGTACGTATTGTTATTTTCAGCACTGTTTCACTTAGAATGCATCCAAGTGAGAGCCTGGTATGTGCTTGAATGCTGCACAAACCCCTAGCCTCATCTAACAACACAGACATCATGCCTACAACCCTTTATCAAGGTGAAATGCAATCTATTAAATAAATAAATAAATTTGTATATCACCCTTCATCTGTAGATCTCAGGGCAGTTCACAAGATAAAATTACAATACAAAAACCACAAAATACATAATAAAAATAAGAACAACTACAAACCAATAATCCCACCCCACAACACATTTAAAAGGGCATCAGATGTCAATCAGCCCAAGGCCTGGTTGAAGAGGAACATGTTCACCTGGTACCTAAAGGTGTATAATGAGGGCACCAGGCAAGCCTCCTTGGGGAGAGCATTCCACAAATGGGGAGCCATTGCAGAAAATGCCCATTCACCTGTTGCCACCTTCTAGAACTCTCGTGGAGAAGGCACATGAAGAAAGACCTCAGATGATGATCACAAGATCCAGATAGGTTCATATGGGGAGAGGTGGTCCTTGACATGTTGCCATCCTGAGCTGTTTAAGCCTTTAGAGGTCAAAACCAGCACCGGAGACCAATTGGAAGCCAGTGCAGTTGGGCCAGGATCGGCCGATTAACAGTTTAGAAATGGGTGCTGGGATGGATCCAATATGCTCTCCTACTCCTTCCCTGCCAAACAGCTGATTGGGGTGCTCATTTTGCAAAAAAGGAGCTCCGCTCACATAGACCTAGATACTTCCCACATTTTTTGTTAGACCAAAGACCAATATCATTATTATTTTTTGCAGAATGAATCAGCCTCCGGTGAACAATGTAAAGTTTTCTCTTGCTGTGCTGTACTTTGCGTTGTGTATATATCACTGAGCAAAGCATGCCACCAGTAATCATCCATCCCATTTTCCCTGCCTTTTTTCTCTTCCTTTAAAGAGTAGAGGATGAGATCCGCTGAGACCCAGGGAATCATTTGCTACAGAAATGGCTCTTGAAGTGGATATGCTCCATCCATGCAGATGCCCTCATTTGTCTGGGAACCAGTGATCTGTTTCTGTTATGTCTACTTCTATGTTACATTAGTCCTCTGAGCAGCTTTTGTTAGGATAATCTTTTGCAGGGCTTCTCAGGCGGTTCAGAAAATCAAGGAAAGCATTGCCTGAAGTAGTGCGATGCATCTCCATTTACTCACAACCCATTCAGTTGTCTCCTGGCATTTGGAGTACATGCTGAAATAGAATCTACTTATTGCCATATAAAAGCTATACTTGCATTGGATTGACAGGTATGCTGTAGCAGATTTGTGGTTTGCCAGTGAGTCGCATTAATGAAGATGCAAGAGTTCCATCGTAAGGCAATCACATCTGGACTCAAATCTAATTGCAGCGGAATGTGAAAAAACACATGCCAACCTTTGTAATATAGATCTCTGAAATGCAGAGAAGATGGATCAGGAGTTCAAAGAAAGAACACTGGCATCCTCATTGCTGTTGTTTGCTCAGAAATTCTAGGAAACAAAGAAAATATGTGCTGTTTTGAAATCCATGGATACAATCAATGCAGTTTTTGTGGGAATTAAGACTCAAAGTATTTGGAAGACAGGCCTGGGCCATTTGACCCTTTAATTAGTTCTCTTTTCCCTCCTATAAAAACTACAGTGGTACCTCAGGTTACATACGCTTCAGGTTACAGACCGCTAACCCAGAAATAGTGCTTCAGGTTAAGAACTTTGCTTCAGGATGAGAACAGAAATCATGCTCCGGCAGCGCGGCGATAGCAGGAGGCCCCATTAGCTAAAGTGGTGCTTCAGGTTAAGAACAGTTTCAGGTTAAGGACGGACCTCCAGAACCGTACTTAACCCGAGGTACCACTGTACTCGAGACACTCTCTTTTAAAGTTTAAATAACATACAACTGTTACTGATCATACTTGCACTTGCAGATTAAATATGCAATGCAGGTCGGTGATACTTAAATTGCTAAAACATCTTGCATAGATTAAACTCTTATAGACTAACTAACTCTGAGGCAGACAGCAGCACAACACAACATACCTGCTGCTCTAACTGTTAAGACTGTTCAACTAACTGCCATAACTGTACCAACTGCCATAACTGACACAGAGTGTATGACATCACATAGTTCTACAGCTCTTGCAATTAACCCTCTACATCAGGGTAGGCAAACTAAGGCCCGGGGGCCGGATCTGGCCCAATCGCCTTCTAAATCCGGCCCGCGGACGGTCCGGGAATAAGTGTGTTTTTACATGAGTAGAATGTGTCCTTTTATTTAAAATGCATCTCTGGGTTATTTGCGGGGCATAGGAATTCGTTCATCCCCCCTCCCAAATATAGTCTGGCCCCCCACAAGGTCTGAGAGACAGTGGATTGGCCCCCTGCAGAAAAAGTTTGCAGACCCCTGCTTTACATATACATTTTGGATGCTAACATGCCACAGTTTTGAAAGGTTGTTGTGCTAAAACACAACACCTTAAACAATTTAGGACCAAAGTACCTTAAGGATCATCTGCTCCCTTTTGCTCCACCTCAATCAATGAGAACCTCTGAGGAGGCACCTCTTGTGGTTCCCTAAGCCTCTGGGGTTCAGTGCGCTCTTACTAGGGACCAAGCCTTTAGTGTGGCAGCCCCTGTCCTGTGGAACTCCCTGCCAGTAGAGGTTTGGTAGGAATCATCTCTGCCTTCTTTTAGATGTCAGCTAACAATGGTGTTATCTGGGCAGCCTTGGGAATGTGGATTTTCCTTCAGCCAACCTGTATTTAAAGTTATTTTCCCGATGTTTGGTTAATGCTGTTGTTCTAACCTTTGTATGGTGTACAGCACCTTGCTATATTTCTACAAAACTGTGGTTTATACTGATTACACACACACACACACACACACACACACACACACCATAGCCTTCCTTTCCCCAGCTAGGCGCCTTCCAGATGTTTTGGACTACAACTCCCCTGAGCTGATGGGGACGTAGTCCAAAACATCTGGAGGGTATCAGCTTAGGGGATGCTGCTGTGCCAATTTGCACCTTGAAGGGCAGAGGGGAGCAGTGATTTTCACTGAGGCTGTCATGCAGTAAGCAGTGTTTAAACCTCCCCCCCTTGACTTGTGCCATGTTCCTGATCCTCATCAACTTAGTTGCTACCATTTAAAGGTGAGGAGAAGGAAAATTAACACCATGCCAAACTATGCATTTATTGTGTAGTTTGGCCCTCTGAAAATCTGACTGTTGAGATCCCGAGAATGACCTTTCTCTTTTTCTTTCCATTTCTTATGTACAATATCTTTTTACTTGTCATACTGCTGTACCCCATGGCAGCAGATTAGCTATGTTCAGTGGGGGAGCCCAACTTTCCTTGGAAAAATGTTATAGAACAGATGTTGTTGGACTACAAATCCCATCATTCCTGACCATTGACTGTTGGAAGTTGTGGTCTAACAACATCTGGTGGGCACTGTATTGACTGCCTCTGCTCTAGATTTACTTTGTCTCATGACTCTAAGAGCGTGTGACCCTAGAGGTCCAAAAATGAACTCTTTGAATGGATATTCATTTCCTCCTTTCACCAGACTGGTCCTCTTTAACTCTCCTACTGCATCCCTGTGACAAAATGATGCAGGAGATACGCTATGAACTACAGATGGATCGAGTTACACTGTGGTTCCATCTCAAGTGGGTTGCTGCAAGAGCAGATTTGTGTCATGGAGCAGGTGATGGAAGCTCTTATAGGAAATGGTAATAATGAATGTCTCAAACTGAAGACTCCCGAGGGTGTCAATTAAATGTCTCTTCAGAACTGGGTAACCTTCAGCCTCTTTCAAGTACTCAGAAACTAGTTGGGTGATATGTTTTTTCTCCCCCCCCCCCTTTTTGTTGTTGTTACCAACACACAACTTTCAGTGACATTTACTGATACCCAAGGTTTGATTTATTTTTTATTGACAGTCACTACTTCCAGGGATGCTTGACAACTCAGATCTAAAGCACCAATTTCTCCTCCCTTGACTGACATTCTTTGTGAATATACAAACAGGAAGGAAAAACTTAAGCTTAAATGCCAATGGATTATTTTATTTCTGGTACCTGACTAAAAGCAAAAACATTTGGAAACTTTCCAGGTAACCAAGGATATTGTTTAAGGTACACTCTGTCAAGAAGCTTGTGATGTGACAGGAAATATCTTGATTCAGTGTCCCCACAGAGCAGAGATTGCAAAAATATACATTAATGTGGTGTCCTTTCCAACTAAGTCACAGACCACTCTGCAAAATGATTCTGTTAAAATGATTAACTGTGCTTAGGAAATTCAAAATGTGATTTGATTACCTCTAAAAGAGCAGGCGTCAGAGGTAAAATTCTAGTCGTGAAGGAAGTATGCTTTCAAATGGTGCCAATTTCATTTGTACATAAAGGTGATGCTGTCATCTTGCAAGCAGAGAGATTATATTTATACCATGTATATGTGATGATGACATAAAAAGAAACATATTCTTCCTGTGGACTTTTCAGAAGTCAGTTAAGAAACGGCTGCAAGGAATGAAAGAATGGAGTAGGGGTTCTTAGTCCTTTTGGTCCTGTAGGTAGATTTGAGTTTTCAAAACCTATAAGGCAAGGGTAGGGAACCTTGGGTTTGGGGGTCAAATGTGACCCTGTTTATTACATTTATATCCTGCCCTTCATCCAAAAGGATGAACTCTGTATTTGAACTCTGTCTGATACTGCTTGCCTAGATGGAGAAGAGAGAGAACTGGGTGAGTGTATAAAGAAAGGTAAAGGTACCCCTGACCGTTAGGTCCAGTCGTGGACGACTCATCTCGCTCTATAGGCCGAGGGAGCCATTGTTTGTCCACAGAGAGCTTCCAGGTCATATGGCCAGCATGACTAAGCCGCTTCTGGTGAACCAGTGCAGCACACGGAAACGCCGTTTACCTTCCTGCCGGTGCGGTACCTATTTATCTACTTGCAATTTCTGAGGTGCTTTCAAACTGCTAGTTGGGCAGGAGCAGGGACCGAGCAACAGGAGCTCACCCCGTTGCGGGGATTCGAACCACCAACCTTATGATCGGCAAGCCCTAGGCTCTGTGGTTTAGACCACAGCACCACCCGCGTCCCTGTGTATAAGGAAACTAGCCAACAAATTTGCATGTTTTGCTCCACCCACTTCTGCCTCTGCCCTCGCCCACAAGTCACCCACAATATTGCT